CTATAATATACTGTAATAATAGGTATGTCTGTATATACTTTAATAATAGGCATGTTTGACTCTCATAAAGGTACATTAGGAGCTGCTGTAGGTCCTTTTGGGAAACCCCATATACAATTCCTGGTCTTTTGTGTCAGTGCAGGAAACATTTGACTCTTCTGTTTGTTTCTCCTTTTTTTGATTGTTAGGCAATTATGTTTTAGCCGATGTCTAAGATGATGGCAGGCAGACGGGAGGAACACCCAAAATGGCTGCAGAGTTTCCCTAGAACAGCAGGTTTTCTGAGAATCACACACAAAAAACCCTCCCCTTTCTTCCTCACCACCACATCCCCTTCCCGTGTGCAAATTTTTCCACCTATAGAAAAATCCCAGCTCAGCTTAAACCCCACTCGCTTCCCTCCCCTCCCGTCTTAGTCAATAGGAACAGTCTAGCTCAGCCTGACTCGATATAAAAGGCCCAGCCCGACTCTCCTGGTTGCTGCTCCCACTTCCCAGAGGGCAGCCCGCCTGTTCATTTTGCCTGCCTGATACACTTTGGTTGAGTCCCTGTCTCTTGGTGTGTTTTATTTTCACGCTCAGGCCGGGGCTTTTCCTTTCAATGACTGCTGTACCAACCCATGTCTTTCTGGGGAGAAGTGAAAAGAGATTTGAAATAAAAATGTTGAGAAATTAAAAAAGAAAACCAACATTGTATAAGTGGTTCAGAAACANGAAATAAAAATGTTGAGAAATTAAAAAAGAAAACCAACATTGTATAAGTGGTTCAGAAACATCACTATGAAACCTACGAAAACAATGATACACCAATTTCAATTGAGAATAAAGTATAATTTACTAAAATGAATCAACTTACAGTGCATAGTTCATCTATTTTGCTGAAATTCTTCTTTTAATCATATATGAAAAGTCACTGAAAACCAGCATTGGATAATCGGTTCAGAAACGTCTGTGTATCTAAAAGACCATGATATATTTTTCAACTCAGAATAAAGTGTAATTTACTAATTGAATCAGCTTTCCATGTACTTTTCACCTATATTGCTGAAATTCTGCCTTTAAACATATATATAAAAACCCACTTGTTCTGCTGAAAAGTGTTTAATACTTTCATTTCAGGTTCGGAGGATTCGTTTAACAAAAGACACCACTCTAACACAGTTAAGCAATGAATAATAATTTTATTACAAAATTATTTTTAAAAAGACTATAAAACAGGCATTAATATAGGAAAAAGAAGACAAAAATTTGTGTCAGTGCAGGAGACATTTGACTCTTCTGTTTGTATCTTTTTATGATGACTGTAACCAACCCATGTCTTTCCGGGGAGAAGTGAAAAGAGATTTGAAATAAAAATGTTTAGAAATTAAAAAAGAAAACCAGCACTGAATAAACGATTCAGAAACATCAATATATAACCCACATGAAAAAGAATGATTTATCATTCTTAACTCAGAAGATTAATTCACTGAAGTGAATCGGCTCACAGTGCATCGTTCACTTTACACTGCTGAAATTCTGCTCTTAAACGAGTATTTGAAAACCAGCATTAAACCAGTGGTTCAGAAACATCAGTATAAAATCTATGTAAGAGACAATGATCTATTTTATATCTGAAAACCACCCGATTAAAAGGTATCCAGAGACCTGAGAGGAAAAGCAATCACGGTGGAGGAAACAGCAGCACACACCACAGAGCCCCTCGGTCTTCAGGCACGGCTGTCTGTCAAACAAGGGCTCTCAGATATCCCGGTCCACCTTTCAAAAATGTACCGGGGCGGGCTGCAGTTCGAAGGAGGCTACCGCGCTGAGATACTGAGAAGGCCCAAGGTGGCAGTTTGAACTTGGAAAGCACAGCACGTGTCATGGGCTGGTAGGTGCGATTTGAAAACACAAGCCATCACAGGTCTGCACCCCTCTGGCGCTCCCCACCACTATCAGTGACCTGTCGGGTGAACGCAGACTCAGGATCTGGACCCCGCACTCTCGCCCCGCCTCGGGAACGGCCGCCGCTGCTCCCGCGAGCTAATGCCCACCGCAAGAGCAAGCTTCGCAGCGCCGAAAGCCACCCCAGGCCAGTGATGGCACGCTGCCCGCGCGGACAAGGTGAGAAAAGAGAAGCAGAAAGAGAATACGAAAGAAGAAACCCGTGCTTCCGACCAACCTCCACCGCAAGCGGACCAGACCGGGAGCCACCCGGCGACGCAGACACACGCCTCCCGCGCTCTTTAGAGACCAGGGGTCTGCAGTCTCGCGGGATCTCGCTGTTCTCAGGCGCGCGGGTACTGAGACATCTCGCGGGATTCCAGCGAGGCTCCCGCGGGTCGGCGTTGTGGCTCGCCGGCTGCGCGGGAGGGTCAGGTGACCTCGAGACTCCGCCTCGCGCATGCGCGGGCGGTGGAGGAGCGGTGGCGCGGCTCGCGGAAGGCCGGCGCTATGGGGCCGAGCCGCGTGCGGGCCGTTTTCTTCGACTTGGATAACACACTCATCGACACGGCCGAGGCGAGCAGGAGAGGCATGCTGGAGGTAACGTCCCCTCTCCGCCGCCGTCCTCCGGGCGCGGCCGGCACGCCCCAGCCGCGTGCCGCGCTCTTTCGCCTCCCGGGGCCCCACTCCCTCCCATCGTCCCCGGAGGCGCTGGCTGCTGCCGTCCGCTGGGAGCTCGGAAGCTGTCCCGGCGCGGGACGGAGCGGGAAGGGGCGAGCGGCGCGGCCGCGGCCCCGGAAGGACGCCGTTGACAACTGCCACGATGGCAGAGGGTCCCGGACGTGGGTGACGGCCACACCGGCCGGGCCGAGTGCTCGCGCCAGCTCCCGGCGGTCGATCCGGGGCGGTCGTCTCCCCACGGCCCGGTCTTCGGTGCGTCTTTGGGGAGACTAGGGTGAGGCAGCCCCATCTTTGGCCCAAGAAGTCAGGCAGCTCTCAGTGGCGAGCCTCGCCTTCAGCCGTGCCGCACGGGGTTATCTGCGGATTCGCCTGCCCCTGCTGGCCGTCCGGCGGCGTCCCCACACCACGACCACAGCCCGACCTCTCCCGTGCTCCCCAAGCCCTAAGCCACCCTGCCTTCAGCTTCGAGGAGGAAGCGAAGGGTTATCAGATGAGGAAAAGCCCGCTTTCAAAAGCTAATCTGTCCCGCCCTGACTGTCCCGTTCTCTTCATCCCTCGTCAGTTAGTTTTTGTCTCCCTGGATCTTCAGCCTTCTCGTCTTTTTGCTTTCTTGGTGCATTTCCCGCCTGCCGCATATTCACATCTGTGCCATACTTTTTTTTAAAAATTATTATTATTATTATTATTATTATTTTGTCTTTTTCCGTGTCCGGCAACGGATCGCAACCCTCAGTGTTGCCCCCGTACCGGACCGGGGACCGGCAACGGTATCGCAACCCTCGGTGTTGCTCCCGCGCCTCGCTCAGCCAGTGAGCGGGCACCGGTCTGTATGTGGGATCCGAACCCTCGGGCGGGAGCGCCGCCGCGCTTCCCAAGCAGCGCACTATCCAGTGCGCCACCGGGCCGGCCCATGTGCCATACTTTTTAAAATATGAAAAGGAACGCCTCCCTTGGACTCTTCTGCCTTTAGTAGATGTTGCCTGACTCTCAACAGCCACGTTTTCAGGAGAAATGTACACTCATTATTTCCGTGTCTCTACTTCCTGACTATTTCTCTATCCATTGCAGGGTCACTTCTGTCTTCCGCATTAAAATGAGACAGACTTGAGAGGTCTTTAGGCACCTCTCGCATTGCCAGAATCAGTGGACATCTTAAATGTTTTAATGACTTGACTGAGGCATTCCACACTCTTGGCTGTCCCTTCCGTCTTCATACCCTTGACTCGACCTTGGGATACCACCCTGTGCTATCTTACCTCCAGGATCTCTAGCTGCCCCAAATTCTCGTTGGAAAATTTAAATGATATTAATCCTCAATAACACTGTGAGGGAGGTTTAATATAACGCATGGTAAGTAAGTAGCATCCAGTGTCCACTCTGAATTGTACCGCCATCCACCAGCACGTCCCCCTGCTCTTGTCTTAGTTCCAGCTGGCTGCCTCTCCCCTCTAGACTGTTGCTGTCGTCGTTTCTCCAGGCTTACCAGGTCAAATTCATCATCCACGTTCCTGCCACAGTTACATTTCCAGAACAAATTAGATTGTCTTTCTCTCTGATCTTTACACCCTCACTTACACTAGTACTGTATTTTATTCGGGTATCCCTTATTGTACCCATCAAAGGATATTACAGTTAATTTTTGCATCTCAGAAGCCTGCAACTAAATAGTGAATTTCTTGAGAGGGAAAAAGTTCTCTTAATTCTCTTTGTTTGACACATGATAAATGTTGAATGAATGCTGGGTGTATGGATAAACATTCTGATCTCCAAACTTGTTTTTATTACTGCCGCCTTTACAAATAGCCTTTGAAATGAGCAGAATTGAACTGTGTGCTTTGACTATGCAAGGGATATTTTATCACATAAGAATGCACCACCACTCATGTATGTTGACCTTTTTAAAAGTAGCGTGCTGGCTTTCATAAATCATTGTGAATGGTTTCTGAATGAGAAAGAGGGAAAGGTTCAGCCATTGCCTTCAGCTTGGGGAGAAGGGATCTCAAACTGTATGTATCAGCTTTAATTTTGTATAATCATCTGGGAAAGTTAATTCAAGGGATGTAATAGGAAGAGTTTTTGATATCTCGAAGCAGTATGCCATGCCTCTACCAACATCTCCCCTTGAAAGTGATCTAATCCCACTGTTTCAGAGCCCCGAGAATGTGGTTAATGTATTGCCAACAGCAGCAACAGGAAATTGGGTCTTTATTGGGAGCTCTGTTTACTAGCTTTGAGGCACCTCCTACTGGAGTTCTGGAGGCCTGTGTCCTTTTACTGTGCAGTACTAGTGTTGCTGAAACTGTCAGGCACAGTGTAAGGGTAATTTGATTGTTGTTGCTCGAAAAATGGTGACATAACCATGGAGGTTGAAAGAGCTTGATTTGTACATTGAAATTTAACTTTATAAAGCAAAAATTGTCAGTGTTTTGCCATCACCTAAAATTTTTAGGGCTGGCATCTTTTTCTCAGGCCAATAAGACTTTTCTTAACTATTACATTTTTAGTATGTGTGCTGCTGAAGCAAGCACATTAACTATTACATTTTTGATTAGCACAAATAGTAGCCTGAGCTATTTTTCCTTTGTTGTAAGTGATTCTTGTGCTCTGAGGGGAGAAGAATGTGTATGTTGTCACTCCCTCCATCTCAGTAGCTGGATTGAGTTTCTGGTGTGAAGAGCATACCACTTATTCCCTGTATAGTTTAGGGCAACACATTTTCACTTGTTGGACTGCTTTGCTTCAACAGCAGAAATTTTTTAGTCTCAGTTATGTACATGTCCATCATCCGACATTGCCTCGCATGGTCGACTTTCCTCAGATGCACACTCTAACAGGAATTTCAAGTGCAGGCAGTTCATTTGGGAGGTGATTCCAGGAAGCAATGTCAGGGTGGGGGGACGTAAGACAGGGAGGGAGAGGAATCTAATACAGAGTGTGTTATGAGTAGGTTACTGTGCGAGCAAGTTGGGATCTCTGGGAAGCAGTACACAGAACATTCCTCAGTTGTCCCTCCCAAGGGACAGAAAGCTGTGATATTCATCCACCAATTCATCTCACTGGTTGAGGGCAGCTCTCTGGGCAACACTGACACTTCAACCCCAGCCTGTGTGCACAGATGCCCCTGTGGCCAGATAAAGCCAGCAAGCTGAGAGGCCCAAGCAAAGGTTAAGTATCCCATATCGTAAATGCTTGGGAGCAGAAGTGTTTTGGAATTCAGATTTTTTTTGGGGGGGGGGGTGGATTTTGGTAATATTTGGGTGATAGTACTGGTTGAGTATCCCTAATCTGAAATCCTCCGATGAGCATTTCCTTTTTGCATGACATTTGAGTGTCATGTCAGCTCTCAAAAAGTTTTAGATTTGGGGTTTTGGAATTTTGAATTAAGGATGCTCAACCTGTACTTGTAGTATGAAGCCACTGGTGTATGTGGGAATAGTGGGGGGCAAGGCTTTAGGCAGCATCTGCTACAGCATTGGGTTCAAGGCCCTTTACACACTGGTTCCAACCAGCCTCTCCAGCCTCATCTCCTAGCATCTTCCCTCACATCTTTCCACTTTGCTGCAGCTCAGCTCCTTGCCTTTTCCAAGCTCCTTGCCTTTTCCAAGCTCCTTGCCTTT